GCTTGAAAATTGACGTTAGCTACCTTTGGTGGCGCCAAACTCTGTTTATCAGTCAGCCGACTCTTGAGCTCGTTACTACCTTTCTTCGCGCCATTGAGGTGGAAGTCAGAGGGTTTGAACACAACAAGTCCAAGAAGTCAAGCTCGAGGCCCCGTTGTGAAAGAACGTGCCGGCGCCGATGTGGGCCGATACCTACCAAACACTGATGCCGGTGGGCTCGAGGGCTCATGTCAGCGGTACTTGGTCAACCTTGGACGGCCAGGAGAGAAAACTGAATGGGGTGATGCACGGCACAACGCCCCAGGCCTGCTTTGCAGGAACGTTCGACGATGCACGGCGCACCAAAAGCAGACACGCCAACCAACCCTTCCGGGAACCAGGACCATGGCCAGGCCCCAAGGGAGTAAGACCAGCCACTCCGGGCACCATGCTCCCATTTCCTCTTTGGGGCGGAACGCCCTCAGACAAGGTCAACACGAAGACAGTGTGGGACGGAACGGTAAAAGCCTAAAACATAGAGCGACAGACAGAGGGACAGAGGCAACCGAGCACGATAACCCCACTGAGCACACGGGGCAGACAGACCAGCACGAGGGCGCAGAGGGATTGGACAAGGCTGTCAACAATCAGGGACAGTCAGAGACCCAGGGTCGTCGTCATCCTCGGTCCAGGTCGTTGTTGGGACGCGTAACAATCCCCACTCAACCCAAACCTACTTGTGAACCAGCTAGGACTATAGACAGGAGACACCTGGATAATTAAGAAAGACAGGAGGTAGTCTCCATGCGTTCAAACGCCTGTACGCAATGGCGCTGGCAAAATCGCTACCTCAGAGAGAGGAAGAGGCTAGGCATGCACTCCTCAAATACGTGGTAGATTAACATAGCCATAGCGCATGAGTGAGGGCCCGAGGTCGCTGTCACTGTATCGCACGTCAGATTGTTCTCTCTGTGGGTATTGTCACTGTCACAACGCCGCCCGAGCGTGCTCGTTCTGTGGTGGTGGTTCTTCACACCAATCCCGTACGACAAGAGCGACATTGTCCAGACGGCCTACTCCAGCGTGTCGTTGGAAGCACTAGCCGACGTTTGAGAGCAGGCAATACGAAAGTGGCCGGTGAGGAACTCATGGCAGAATGAAGGCTTTGAGTCGACGCATTATTATCTGCCTGCTCTATGCTATGTAGGTACTGTACTGACTCCTGCCCATTGACGGTGATTCGGTGATTCGAACTTGTCGGAAACGCATAGAGGTGCCCTTTCATCCATGGACTATCTAGGATGTCCTGATGAAGAGAACTTGGATTCACACGCCACACGTCGACGGGCTCGGTGCCGGTTCCAGGCTCTAGTCGTTAGACTCTTTGATTAGTCCAGCTTCAATGGCCAACTCTTCTGGCCAGGCAAATCTGTGGACCGCCGCCTTAACGTCGTAGTCCGTCACAGAGCAGAGGCCGGGTCGTGTCTTACCATGCGTCTGCTACAGCACAAGCTCGCTGCATGATAGGTTGACGCGAAGCGAGTTGAGAGATGATGCTTTTTGTCTCGCTGTGGAGCGGGGAGATTTGTGCTCCTACAGTACCTTGGAGGTGAAAGACGAGAATGCGTGCTTTGTCGATTTGCGATTTCCTGGGCCCCGCGGGTGGCTCCACTATTCAACTGCGAGCTCGTAATAAGAAGCAGCGAATCTCCGAGCAATCTATTTGCTCAAAGTCTTGTAGGTGCCGATCGACTGGCTTATCTCTTCTGTTGAAGTTGGAAGAGATATGTACCGAGTTGTGGAAAGGGTTTGTCAAAGACAAGATCAATGCTTGAATTATACCACTGATCTCACTGAGCAATGACATTCCAGCGCAATTTTCAATGATCCACTCAACTACGTGCTGCTTATGATGCGACTCAAGAAAGGAACGTCTTGGGGATGGTGTTCTGCTGGTCGATGGGAATCTTCTATCTCGTGATCTGACAGGTCAAAGTTGGTGCTTCGTGCCGTTCGACGGTACAGATATCCTATGATTTTTTTTTTTTCAACTTTTTTTTTGAGAGAGAGAGAGAGAGAGAGAGAGATTATCCTGCAAGCTTGGCAAGCACAAAATATGGGAACTGATGCCCTTCCTGATTGATTTTCGGAGTAGGCGTGGCTACAAGAGTCGTCCACTAGGTCTCTCCTCTAGCTCCCCGACCGGCGCAGTGCTAACAGGTGCGCATAACTTGGTGTGCCAATTCGCTCTTCTCAGTATTGAGATCATGCCATTGGCTGGAGCTCATTTTGCACGGATCTGAGGAGCTATCCCGCTGCCCCCATTTCTCAAATTCCTCTCGGAGCTCCTTCTGTCGGTCAACAGGCATACCTACCTTGATGGCGTTGGGCTCGATTAACGACGAGGTCATATTCTGGAGGAAGGGTCTCGAATGGTTGCTGGTGGGTTTCTCGTGAGATTGGATATCGCTCGCACATCTTTGCCATCGCAGCATTACTTTCAATTGCCTGTAGGCGGAGTGTCTCTGCGCCACCCTCGATTTTTGGAACCGGGGTGTACAAAATTCTCAAAACCTCTGGAAGAGGTTCGTTATCCGAATGATCGTAATACCGATGCTTTCCGTGCTCGTCTGTCTTATGATGAGGATTTCCTGATGAGCTCCGGCATATCTGACATGCACTTCCGGGATTAGGATTGCTAACTGCACGGACGGCGACTTCTCAATACTGAGCTTCGGACGGTCTCTGGCAATGCCTTGTTGGGTATGATGACTGCTGCACCGGGGGTATAGGTCGAGGGTAGAATGACTGTCGCATCTGGAGAATGGGTTGGGGGAGTGATGGCTGTTGCATCGGGGTCGCATTTTTGCGCAGGTGCATATGGGATGGTCGCTGTATGGCCTGGTACCTGGGGCATGTCATACGCATCCAGGCCTTGAAGGGAGAGGGTTTGTGCTTGACCTCGCTGATGGATATTATGCGCAGGGTTCAGTTGTGGTGCTCGAGGTGTACGGCACCCAGGGCAGGACGGTTCATAATGTCATCTGCCACAGCAGAAAAGAGCAGGGTAGGATGATACAGCAGGGTAAGAAAATGGAAGAGGATTCTGGTTCATGTCCTTGACCCGTTGATTGCGACGACGACGACGACGACGACGAAGAGATCAACGGAAGGAAACAACATGGAACGACAACTTCGAGCACGCGGTCTGTCGACTAGCCCCAAGCTTCTTCATTCACTACCTAAGGAAAGGTCCGGCACAATGCGCGCACTGGGAACTCTCTGGCTTTCACTATGTCCATCAAACACTTCGATGAATCCGACAAGGCCAGCGGAGTGGAGTGGGAGCGTGGGAGTCTGATCTGGCCCCTTTCGCCTGACTACATACATACGTATCTGCGGGAGAGACGGACGCTCTACGTGAGGGACTGAAGCGGAAAGAGAAGTGATTCTATCGAGAAGACCATGCCTAGTCTAGCGGACCAGCTAACAAATGTAACCACTACTGGGTACTCCATCGAAAACGATGTAGCAGGTTTGCCTCATTTGCCGCTAATTTCGACTTGAACCCCTATTCTACCGTTGACGTGAACCTCTCTTCCTGCGTAGATTTCAACTCGTCGAGCTCCTTGGTCTTCTTCGCCAGCGACTCCTCCAAGTCCTTTTGTCTTTGCCGCTTGATCAGCCGTGTCGGTGTCAGCTGTGCTATTAGTGGTTGACGCGTCAGCAGTTGCTTGATGTTCCCCATTAACCTGAGCGATGTCGCAGGCTCACACTGAGCTGGTCAAGTCGACCTCGCTCGACTCGCCAGGTCTCTTTATTGGACCAATCTCCGTTCAGCAGAGCCTGGACCGAGGAATATGTGAGATGGGCTCTTCATGAGGCAGAGGGACGTGCAGAGAGCCGATTGCGCAGTGAAGGAAAAGGGGAACCGCTTCTGTGGGGCTGTGTAAGGAAGGGAGGCGCTTCTATGGGCGCATTTGGCGATTCGCGGATCTCACAGATACACTTGTGGCCAGCACAGGCAGCTAGATTCTCGAGGGCGCTCAGTGGAGAAGCAGAAGGTTGCAAGTGTGAATAATTCGGTTGGCCCCGGCTGCGGAAGATGTCGGATTGACACCAGTCGATGATAACGAGGGGAGGGTTTGAATGGGATTGTGCCAGAGTGTTCTTCTTTTGGGAACGAGATTTGATGTAGAATGGTCTTTTGGGTGGTGCAGAGGGCAAGTGACGAGGCGTTGTTTGCATGGAGACGGATTTACGGTTTATTTTGAGACCGTATGTCCGGGGTTGCGCAGCAGTCGATAGGTCGAATGCTAGGCCAAAAAAATGTCCCCACTCTAGGCAGTAATTGAAGAGATATATAAACCATCCACGTAAAATACCTTTGGGATTCTATCCCATGTGAGTACCACCAAAATTCCCATTTTCAACTCGTGCTAACCATGTAATAGTTGGTCAATTTGAAACGATACAGAGAAGATTAGCATGGCCCCTGCACTAAGGATGACACGCTTCTCAAAGAGTGCTACAAGTTTTTTTTCCCGGTGGGGTTTTGATCGAGTTCGACCCTCGGTGACAACGACTAATTTTTTTTTTTTCTTGTTAAACTTCACCAGATTATGTGGGGGCGCAGAAGGTCGCTCTTGGCGTGTAGAGAAAATCGCCACTCTGTCTCTGGCCACCAGTTTTGCGTCGAAACCTCAAGTATACTGCGTCCTATTGAAAAGTTACTCCAAAGCAACAGGATGAACGCATGAAATACACTATTGCTAAGCCCTTGTTGAACATTGTTATTCGTGCCGGGAAAGACGCGAGAAATGATACACACCGAAACAAGACCATCTGCTCTGGACAATTTGATACGCGCTCGACAATACAAGGATCTTTCCTGGCTTTTTCCTCACTTCATCACCCCAGTTCCGGACAGTGTCGATGTCGCGTTGAGGAAGATAAACCCATCATGGTTCTTATTCTGCGCCTGTCAGTGAGGCTGATGGAGAAATCTCCAGCATTCGCACTCAATATCCCTTTGCGGCCAACTCAGACTCTGTCCACTCCCACAGTTTCTTGGCCAATTCCGTGTCTCGACTCTTCTTGGACCCGAGACTCTCCTTGCCGACCGGAACGTAATACGCCCCGTTCTTGACCTCCTGCCTCGTCCAGGTGGCCGCCCAGAGTTGCGTCAACGTGCCCTGCTGCACGGGCAGAGCGCCCGCCATGTAGTCGAAGAATTTCTGAAAGCGGCCGAAGAAGCTGTTCTGGTCCAACATGACGTTGGTCAGGTTCGTCTCAACGCGGCCAGGGTGGATCGACGTCGAGAGGATTTCGGGATACCGTCTGGCGAGCTCCCTTGCGTGCAGGACGTTGGCGAGCTTCGACTGCCCATAGAGTCGTGCCGGGTTGAACGAGTCCATGGGCGTTTTCAGTTGGGCGAAAACAATTCCTGCGCCAGGGGCCATTTGATGTGCGGCGGACGAGACGTTGACAATGCGCACGTCTGAGCCTGGTTTCGATGCCGTCGCTTGCATTAATGGGAGAACGAGACGGGTTAGCAGCGCATGGCCCACATGGTTGGTCCCGAACTCGATCTCATAGCCATCTTGCGTCAGACCATGCGGATGGGCCATGATGCCGGCGTTGTTGACTAGGATGTCGAGCCTGTCGTTTTCCGAGTGGATTTGGTCCGCTGCACTCTTGACGGATGCCAACGAAGACAAATCCAATTGCAGAAACCTGACATTCGCATGGGGCGCTGCCGCCGAGATGTCCTTCATGGCGTTGTCGTACTTCGCTTCCGATCGAGCAGCCAGGTATATCCGCTGTGGGTGGTGCTTTGCCAGCTGCAAGACGGTTTCTTTGCCGCAGCCACTGTTCCCCCCTGTCACGACGATCACCTTGCCCCCAAGATCCTGGATGTGTTTGTCCGGATCGAAGTTGTGGACATTATCCAAGGGATTGAGGAAGCCGAGAGGGTGCATGGCTTGAAAGGTGATTAGGATTTGTCAGGACTTTTCGAACCGGGCGCTCCTGACAAAGAATGCGAAGGAGAGACTGTAACTATTGTTTCTTGCACAGCGCTTCCTTTATTTACCTGTACCTCGCCCTCGATGGGCAAGCGATAGCGTGAAATAGAACATGGCTTGAACATGGGTGGAGTTCGACCGTTTTTGTGCGAGTCGGACCGTGATTCTCCCTAGCGCAGTAATGCATCTCAACCAATCAAAGGGGGCTTGGTTGTGAAATGATGGTTGCCTAGTCAGGTCCATCGACCGACTCGGACAACTGCCTCGCTGCTTGTATTGACTTTCGCATTACAAGGGCGAGTTGGTGGTGGTAGTGGTAGGGGTTGCGGTGACGCATAAAACGTCAACAACCGAAAAGGGGAGAAAAAAGTACCTTCGACACTGGGCTTTTTACTGCGCAACGCACCCACAATGCCTTCTTCCGCCCGCTCAACCATCGACGCCTTTCGTTCTCACGGCTGGCAATTTCTCTCGGAGCCGTGGCGAGAGCATATGGCGATGTCCAACAAGCCGAGGAAGACCAATCTCAAGCTCCTCTCACCTGTGCATCCTGCGTTGACGACAAACGTGAGCAACTCCGCCTCACTCCAGCTCCCCAGGACTTACAAGTCGTCAGCGCTCGTCCTGGTGCCATCAAAGAGAGCTCTGTCACGACGGAACTCGATTGGACGCTGTCGAAGGGGACAACATCCGGCTACTTGTGACATAAATCAGGTGAGATGGTGAAAAACTTGCAAGGGGTCCTTGGGAGTTCTTACTCTTCTCGCAAGCTAGCCGCGGGCTGCAGAGAGCTCAACATCCGAGACCTGGTCACCGTGGTGAGGTCTGGTGAGTGATCCATAGAGTGTTCCTCGCGTGGCAAACCGACGACAACCAGGCAAGGCTATAGCGCAGCATGACACCCCACAAGACGCCGTCTGGCAGACCTGCTCCCTGGGTCTCAGTCAAGCTGCCAACAACGAGTCGAAACACAACCTTGGCGCCGGGCATGGTCGTTTCCGCTCCTCCCATCAACCATTTCACTCTTCCCGTCCCTGCCTGCGACTGCCGCAGACCCAGACCTACCACGACACAGTCCACACGACATGAGACAAAGCATGACCTCCATCCCATTCAAGGAACAAAAATCCCACGCATTGGAGTAAACCTTTCCCCACAAGACTGCCGTCACGAAGGAGTGGCTATATAAGTCCTAGGCGGAGTTTTGGATTTGTGGACTCAAAAGATTGATCGAGCAACCACTCTTCCAACCACACATGCAGCCACAAGCCTAAGAATGGCCAGTTGATTTGTGTCTGCGATTGTGCTAGGAATCCTGTGTGCTTTAAATATATGCTTTTGCGGAAGAGGGTGAAGTGAATGCTTGCATACAAGGAATCTTCGCTGCGCAAAGGCATATCTTTCACAGCTCTTGGCACATCTGACTTCTTCTCCGGATCTCCTTTCGGCAGGTACTGGGTGTCAGCCTTTCTCCAACCTCCGAGCTGCTGTGTTTCTTACAGATCGTCTATGGCGTCTGTTGTTCTAGACTGACCTCGTCTTTAGGAATCGATAAAGGAAAATTGGTCACAACTCACCGATAATTCTCAGGCAATGCCACACCAAAGAATCGTCGAGGCGCCCTCTCTTTCTGCCAACGAGTCTCCACGTCTTCTATTTGAGAGATTCTGATGTCAATGACGTCCATCATTCAATCAATGAACCACTATTGGCGGCATGATGGGCGTAATGGGCAGGGATGGGCCGAGCAAAGAGTCAGACTTGTGTACATGTCACACCGGGTCTTGGCGGACATTTCTTCGTCGATATGCTACCGCTCACTGGAAAATGGTGCTGAGGCCTAAACCTACTATTGCCTACCATTCCTATTTCCTTCGCGATCGCCCTATCTGCCGGTATCACAAGGGCAATCGAGGACCATTCTTTCGATCCGTCCCCTCTCAGGATTGGGGCGAGTGATGGAGAAATTGGCAACTGGGTAAAGGAGCTCAACGGCGACGTCTTTCTCTATCAGGTGTTCTTTGCACTCGAAGAGCATCCGACCACAGGGTTAAGCGCATTTGGGGACTTCCACCTACCTGAGACGAGATCTCGCGTACAGCTGCGAGTACAATCTCCGGCAACAGTCCCAAGCTGGATGGGGAAAGGCTTGGTGGTTTGAATCTGTGAGGATCAGCAAGAGCAGATGGTCCTGTCGATCAGTCTCTGCTTGCAATCAAGTGCCCCTGATCGCGTCTGCCGTCCCATGCACAAATCCTTCAAGCGGACCTTTTTGGTGGATGAAGCTGGACCTGGTCCAGTCGGAGCCGGTATAAGGCTGCCAGAGCAGAAACCGTATCGATCAGTACGCTGGGAATATTTCGTCTTCCGATCCCCTTTCCCTGTCGTCCTCCTTTGGCTCCTCCGCTGTTCTTTCCTCGCCGCAAATTTGGCCGCCACGCCGCATCTGCTGGCCGGTGTTATTGCCCGTCAGGTGTCTCACCGCCGGTCTGAAATGGAGCTCGTCAGAGTTGGGAACACAACAGTTGTTTGGTGGCGAGGTCACTGCAGTGGTCTAGCACGGATTGCAGCACAAGCCACGGAAAGGGGGTGGTGGATGCTCTGGAGAAAAGGCTGGACTGGTTGAGAGATCCGCGAGCAAGACGTCAGAAAAGGACGGTCGAGCGGAGAAGCCGGAGGGCTTTGGTGGAAAAAAGTAGCAGTCCGACGCGGTTCCGAGCCCTGAGGACAGCAGCCCTGAAGAAAGGATTGACGAACTGAAGTTGAGGCTGCCGGTTTGGGGTGCCTTTTTGGTATTATGCAGTGTCGAGGTACGTACTCGGTATTCGTGGTCCGTTCAGAGCTGAAGCTGAAGATTCAGGAGGCACGCGAGGGGCCAAAAGTGCCCGGAGTGGCTATCTATCACGTGCCCACAGCCCCACTCCAAGCCCAAAGCCGAAGAAATCCGCGAATTCCCGTTTGCCTAGTTGCAGTGGCCCACCCCTGCGCCGCCCAGTGTGGGCCCGCAAATGGCAAATTGCCCATCCAACTTCCAGCTTCTCCCATCCCAACTCTTTTCCTTCTCTTCTGTGACCGACGCCGTCTCCTCGTTCTCCTCCAGATCGTCCGCGAATCCTCCGTCCTATAACTGGGGGACATTTGCAAAGAAGGGCCGGAAACTCCCGCAAACCCACGGCTGCGCAGGGCGGTCGTCCTCGTTAAATCGACCCCGAAAAAAATTCCCCATCCTATTGACGCTATTTGGCGTCGATACCCGACTGGTCCCAACAACAGCCCATTACAGTACCAGTGTTGGCAAAGATCTCTCCTCAAAATAAGTCTGATGAGATGATTGTTACTCGGCTCCTCCCTCGTGCACGGACCACTCGGAAAGGAGGGTTCTTTTGCTACTGTCACAAGTACTTTTAAACAGTCCACGGCACTGAGATTCCGATCATACGATGGGGAGACAAATCCTCGTATGGGTACCGAGTACGGAGTGGTACCTATGCGGAGTTAGTATACATGGATTCCCGTATACAAACTTGCTTCCTCGGTCCCACAGGTGAGGCCATTCATGGAGGAATAGAGCATCCCCAGAGAGTGGCCCTGACAGCCAAATCTGCATGCTGCAATGCAGAGCTCGCCGGCTTCGAAACCTCAGCTGCGCAAGGTACCTACATATGTATGCGCGGCGGATTTACGGGAGCACATCCCGAGTTCCTCGCAGGTACTTGTTACTCGTAGCAATGGTGTGTGGGTTAAAGTTTCAATGGACGCCAAGTATGGGCGCTATCCACCTCTCCACCTATCCTCGACGTCCAACGCCCACGAATCACACACGACTAACGCTAACGGATTCCTGCGTTGCAAGCAAGAGATTCAAGCCGGGTTTTTCTTCTGTTTTTTGCCCCCAAAGATGCTACTGAACTCTTTCGATCCGAACCTGTCCGCCGCTGTCTCGTTGGATCCTAGATCGCTCTCGCTGGTCCTAGTGTGAAAAGACCAAAGAGGTAAACGCTTCACTTTCCTTTTCGCTCGAAATTCTATGCTTCTACTTGTTAGGTCTGCGAAAGTTTCCTAGTCAAGAAATCTGGAAGAGGATCAATGGTGAAGCCGTCAAGTATGGATATCAAGGGAGGCGGTAGCTTAACATGTATTTGTTGTGCATGTAGACAAGTACGGAGAATGTCAAGGCGTATCGACAATGAAAGTCGCTTAACTGTCCTCGCTGCCTTCGCTGCTTCTCCAAAACATCTGTGGTCATCTCCGCACAAAATGCTCCCAACTCCGCGCTTGTTCGTCATCACCAAAGGGCATACATGAGCACAGCGCAAAGGCGAACAAACTCTCCTTCACAGGGGGGGGGGGGGTAATATCAAAGCCCAAAATTTACAACCAGGAGACCCTCTTGGACCATCACGTGCATCCAATCCACATCAAGACTCTGTCCGGTATTCATAAATCGCTCGTTTTGTTTTTCGTATACCGCCGCCAGAGCTTTGCGCGTTGTCATTGTATTGCGACCGATGCTGGTTTTCTCCATCTCGCGCAGCAGGTCCACCGCGTGCATTCGATGCGCCCCATCTGTCGCGACGAAGCCGGCCATAAACACAGGGAATACGAGATATCGACAGTATGATCGGTCCTCCGCGAGTGCCTTGCTGGCCATTTGCAGGATCTGACTGGAAGCTACTGCAATTTCCGTGTCGTAGTCTGGAGATGTTTCGAGTCGTTGCCCAGGCCACATGGATGTATGTGAGTAGATAATACATGCTCGATACAACGTGGCAGCATGTTCGTACAACTGTTTCGGCCGAGTCGGGAGCGTTTCGACCTCTTGATGGATCATCATCACGGCCGGTGTCACCCACAACTGACGTAACGCTTCCTGGATCTCGAAAATCTGACTTTGGCGTATGCGGACGGCCTGGTCTCTCTGGAGAGCATCCACATCGTCGAATGTGATATCACTCCGAAATTCGCGTGCCAGTAGTGCCATCCGGATCGCAAGAATACTCACCTCATAATCGAGTTGTAGGATGGTAGGGAGAACCTCCACCTCCTCGGCATAAAGAACGCTCGAACCGTCGTGACCAAGTGGGTACAAGTGGAAGCTCGGGGGAGGGATGAAATCGTTGTTCAACAAGGACTCGACGTATCCACCACTGCCGGCACCGCTGAGAAGGGCGTCCAGGTCGATGTGGCAAATCCACCACACAACAAACGGAAATAGTTCACGACCTGATTCATCACGGCGTAAAAGCGAAATTTGTAGAAGGGTCAACAGGTGCTGCGACCATAGATTCGAGTGCTCGGCTTCGGCGGCGGCGATCTGTTGTTTGCAGTGTTAATATGGAATCATGCTGCAAGAATCTCGACGTACCTCGTAAACGAGTAGAAGGAAGTGAGTCAGAAACGCTCCATCAGACGACAAGTCGTCGGGACCTCGAAGAGTGGACTGTAATGCAGGCAAAGCTTGCTGATAATATTGAAGCGCGTCAAGCCATTCTTTGCCTTCTTGGACGGCCACACTGAGGGCTGCGACGGCCATCATTGCATGGTGCAACTGTAGCAAGGATCAGCAAAGCTCGGGTTCATTGCAACAGAGTCACGCACCGGAGGGAAAGTATTCGCGGCGTGTTCCAGAATGTGGACACTTGACCGTACCATGCCATCTCTTTGGTCGAGCTCTGCTGGAACTAAATGTTTCCAAACCACCTGGCGAAACTGTCGCAGGTATCGGGCTTCTTGGCCCACCCCGGCTGTCTCGCTCAATGAGTCTGATTCTTCGGAGAGCACAGCTTCCTCTTGGTCCTCGATCTTGATGATTGCTTCGCTCTTGATGATTGCAGGTCGGACTATGGGGGATGTGGGTGAATGAGCCCGATTGGAGCTGAATGTACTGCGCCGTTTAACGTCTTGAAATCTGGGTAACACAACAGTGTTGGGGTCTCCCGAGAGTGGAATGGCCTCGACGCCCGGTTCGCGACCAAGGCTGCTCGCGAGCGAGGTTGCGATGGAGCCTCTGCGGAGAGTTGGCAACAGTTCTCGTTTGATTTCGGGCTCGTCGTTGTATTCTGGGAGGTGTTGAAAGCTCTGTGGACCCACCACAACGTTGTACGTTCCAGGGCTCGAAGTCCCTGCCTTCTTCTCGCGGTCCTCATCTGTAGTTAGACTGGCGAACGGCGGGAGGTCGTCCACCACGGCAGATCCAGCGCTGTTTTCGGTCAGCGCAGGAGAATTTGCTGCAGCCAAAAAATTAGTAAATTCTCCAGAAGGTGTGGTCGAAGGAGAGGACTGAGACTCACGGTCCCATACCGGACTTGCGGCGATGGTAACATCCGCATTGCGTCCCAGAACTCGAGAGGTATCATCTCGAAACGCGACGCGGGGGTTGAAGTCGCAGCTGAGGTTCAGACGAGAACATGGACCGCAGAGGGGTCTGGTTTCATCGCATTTGACCTTGCGATGACTGTTTCCGCGGTTAACATGGGAGACGGTTAAGTTTGAGTGCACCACTCACCGACAGGTCCAGCAGCCGCTTCTTGAACGTGGAGGTAGGCGGGAACGTGGAGGGACACTAGGGCCACTGCGGCTGGAACTAGCCGAGGAAGACTGGTCTTCTTTAGGCGCAATCACAGGCAGGCGCAGTGGCGGTCTTCTCAAGGCCTCCTCTCGCTTTTCGACTGGCATTACCAGTGTAGTCGTCGTGAACATGAAGAATGTTGCGCAAATAATCGAGAGGATCTGTCACACAATTTGTTCAAGGCCACAGACGCATGTCAGGCCGCATGCATTAGTGCCTCAATCTCAGGTTCGAGGGGTCCGTGTGGCAACAAGGGAAGGGCAAGGCGCGGCCGTAGATTGGAGGCGGCGGAGAGGACGACAGAGACGAGGGTCGCTCGGTGAGGAAGATAAGGCAAAACCAGGAGTAGCAGCGAGGCACGTCCTCCACGGTACCTTGGCAACGGAGAAGTCGAGGTTCCAGGCCTGTCGCTATACCATGTTCGAGAGGAAGGCGAACGGGACTTTTGAAAAGGAAGTCGAGAAGTGGAGGACGTTGGATTGAAGAACGAAACAATCCATCCCCGGTCCCTTGAGGAGTCAATCAAGAAATGGTATGGCCGGGTTTATTAGTTGAAGGCAATCCCGATGTCATTGTGCGCAAAGCATCTGCCCTGGTCATCAGGACTGATTGGAGTCCCACAGTAGATGCAGGAGGGGAGCTTCCGGCATCGAGGGATAGATCCATCTGCAAGACTAAAACAAGAGGTCCTAGTAAGAAGAAGACCCGAAGCTTGAGACAGCAAAGGCATTTGCGGTGACTGCACGGAAGCAAAGTTCCCAATGGGCTGTGGGCAAGGGTCAGAAGATTGGGTTTCGAGCCGTGGAAGAAAAGGATATGCAATCGAGTGGAGAGGAAGCCCATGGAGATGGTGTCCTCGTAGCCGTGGTAGGGCGGCGAAGCGGGTCCTCCGGAAAAACTTTCTCGGAACGGAAAAACAGAGGCACCGAATGATCCCCCGGTCTTGATGTGATTGGGTCCTTCAATGGCCGACTGCGGCACGAGCCAAATGGGTGGGAAGCCAAGAAAGTGCACCACCTTGACCACCCGGGAAAAAAAAAAAGTGGTGGAAAAGGTGGCGACCTTCTGTGTCTTCGGTCCCTGCTTCTGCATCTGCATCGGCATCTGCAAGCCTCTTTTCTGCTTCTGTTTACCAGGCTGGTACATAGTACATTCCCACTGTTCGTCTGACCGCCTGAACTTCGACCCTCTCTTCTTGCTTGTTGCTGTGCGAATGTCCCTTGACGATTCCCACAAGTCCCAATGCGGGTTTTTGTTCCTCCGGCAGAACAACCCTCTCCTAGCGCATGGTCTGGTGGGGAACAGACGGGAGTCAAATCCACCCATCGGAGTCTACGAGCTCGCCTTCGAAATCCAGTCTTGTCCCTTCTGTCTTGCTTAACTTTTGCTCTGAACAGGAAAAGGAGCTACTCGGGGTGAACAAGCTCCTCGGCTTTGGTCCCAGAGAACGCCACTCCGTCTGCTCATCCTAGGGCCTAGGTAATCTGACTTCTCGCTTACCTCCCCTTGGGCACCAGTACCTGCACGACCAGAGCTAAAAATCCATACTATTGAACCGAGCTCAAAAACCATGTGTCGTCGAATTCGACATTCGTGGAGAAGTCAATTAAGGACGAGGTACTGGGTATCCAGCCTTAAGAGTCAGTAAATACGCTAAAGACCCCCACTGGACTGCATCCACCGATCGGTGGAAACTCAGGGGCGATGGATGCCGCAAGACAGAAACGTGGTAAATGGCTGCAGTAATCATGGGAGACAGGTGCCAACCCCCGCGCCTCCTCCACCGGAAACGGCAGTATCAAATTCGACGCCATACTACAGTATATGTATGACCCGTGGATTTGGGACGCCAACGAAAAAGGAAGGGTTCATCTTTCGACACCGACACCATGCCGCGACGAGTGGTCCGTGCCACCCCTGAATCAGCCCTATGGTAGCATCAAGATCAATGGCGGGAGGTTGTCCCAACAATCTGGTACCACAGCAGCAAATTGAATTGCCATTAGCCGGGGTCGGAATTCAAACCCGCGATCCCAGGGAAGAAGGTCCCCAACGCTTGGGTTGCTGCATGACGCCAAAAAAACTACTAGTCTCGTTTGCAAGCCTGTCGAGCTCGTCCGATTTCTTCACGTAAAGGCCTCGATCGTTCTTCAACCAGCCAGGGGTCGAGGATCGCCGCTAAAGCTGCTGGGTCAGGCATTCCTTTTTGGGCCAGGGCAATAGCCAGTTCCACACGTGATTTTCGGGCACGTTCCGGTTCTCGCCAAGGTTCCCGTGGACAGGCGAGCACCGCCATGACCAGTGGCTGAAATGGCTCATAAGCCGTTCGACCGTCCACCTCCGAACCCTCCCGCGCCGACGACCGTGGTGCTGCTGAGGCTGTTGTCAAGGTTGAGGCTGTTGTCAGGCTTGAGGCTGAGGTATTTTTGTCGTCAGAGCCTTCACGTTCACGACCATCACCATCCACTTTCTTTGGTTTTGGCCCATTGACGACAAAAAATTTTGCACTGTCGTACAGTACAATGTCGAGTGTGCTGGATCGGATGCCATGTGCCTTATGCACTATTTTCGTCGCCCAGTCCAGGCTCTCGGGGTGGGTATGAGTTGAAAGCATCCTGAACATGCAAGACACAACTGCGCTCACCGTCGCTTCAACAACAACGGTCTGATCGCTATATTCTTACTGTTAGCGGCAAGTCTATGCACGAGCGGGGCTGTCTCACCGATTCTTCAGGGGCTTCCCGTTAGCCTCGTCAATCTCCATGGCATCCTGGTTCGTCACCTCATCCGTCAACTCCGCCAGATAAGGCAGGACCTCGTGGCTGAGGTCCAGATCTTTTCGAGCGACAGCAAACTCTCCAAGAGCCTCAATGGCGTGGGGTCGGTAAGCAAGGTTGCTCCGCTTCGCTTCGCGGATGGCAATCTTCTTCATCTGCTGGCTGATCTGGACGTCGGACCACAGTGACTGAGCCTCCCGCACAAACTTGGGATACACTTTGACAATTTCTTCTTTGCCGTCCCAGGTTTTCCCATCCAGGGCTGCTTGCATCACCCCCCAGATGAGAGATGCCTCGCTGTCCGAGAACTGTCCTTGTACCTCCATCGACGTCACCAATTCAGCGACTGCCAAACAGCAAGCTTGCTTAATTGGCCACAGCGGCGACCCAATATGGGCCGAGATGAGTCCCACAATCTCGGTCAGATAGAGATTGATGGATCGAGAGCCACCAATATTCTCCTTCCAAGGAACATCGAAGGTCTCCTTGACCTCCTTGTCAGTGTCCCGCCGGCCAATGAAAGCAAATGGGAGAAAGGTCGAGGCAAAGTTCATGAAAACGTCATTGGCAGCTTTGGAAATCCCCTGGATGATTTCGCCGGCAACAGAACGATGGCTCAGTTCCTGCGACTCGAAATACAACCTTTGTGCGTACTTACTAGTAGCTTGGATCTCCTTGTCCGAGGCCAGTCTCATCAAATAGCCTAGTGAGGTACTGAAGGCAACGCTGATCGTGGCGTTGCGGTCGAGGATGTGTTTCCGCGTCAACTGTATGAACCGATCTGCGTATGGCCGAAAAGCCGTTGGATGGCGAACAACTAGCGTGGTCATGACTCTGCTCAGGCCGATTTTGGATGGGAGTCCGATCGCGGCTCGATATGCATTTGCAAGCCGTTGCATCGTATCATCCATCACTGCAAGATTTCTTCCTACGTGCGAGCTCGATATGACCCCTTGCATGACGTTGGGGTCGTCGTTGGAGTCAACTGTCATTGTAACGCTCTCCAAACAGTCCTCAATTGCCTCTGTAACTGGAGATGCGTTGATGCTCGACACCCTCATCTTGTCCAGTTTGTCGGCTGTCAATCCATACTTGTCGGCATTCAGATGTAGGTAGTTGATGCTCTCGTGTTCAAGAGAGCTGAGGGAAAGCACAAGCGTCTCCAAAACTGACGGTGCAAAGGGGCGCAGAGATTTTGGAGGACATTTCTTCACCACCTCCAAAAGCGTTACAATAGCATATTGTTGCACTTCCTTAGCCGCGCCGCCGTCCATCTGTTGCAGCAAGAACGGCATGGCGTGATTGAGCATGGTTGCGGAGCGCTTCGAGTTTCCTTCCCCGATTTCCAGATTGCGAATCAGCATACTTGTCAATGTCCTGCAAAGTTTCATAGCTGCCATTCGAACCGTCTCCTTGACATCGTCCAGGACCTTGAAAGCCACCTTCCAAATCTCATCAAGGTATTTTTCAAACATGTCGACGTCTCGCCCCTGCACGAGATCGGAGATTGCTGCACAGCTAGCCTCGCGGGCTCGCCATTCCTTGCCAGACACAACACTCTGCAACAGATCCTCCATAATCAGGTCAAAGTTCTCGTTGATGACGGCATTCGGATCCTTGACCAGTGCACGCCAAATTTCGTTCATAGACCGTTGGACATTGGGGTTCGGGTCGAATCTGTACCGGAAAAGCTTAGGATAAAACTTCTTGTTCTCCGTCAGGTATGTGGAATCTGCCAGCACACTGCCAAGCCCAAATCTCCCAAACGCTGCACGACTTGACCAGATGGCATTGTTCGAAGCCAGACTCATAAAACGATACACCAGGCTAGGGTCTCCCATTTCCGTGGCAAGCCGGACGATATCTTTGTAAGTCGTAACAGACTGTCCATTTTCGGTGGGCAACGCACCAGGCTCGAAGAGCTGCGTTTCTTCATTGACAGTTCCGGCCATTTTGGCATTACTGCCCGTGAAGCTTTGGACCAGGTCCCTCACCAGGTCGTCTCGAAGTTGCTTGTCACCCCGCTCATAGACGAGGCTGAGACCCCTGGAACCGGTCTCTTGGACGACCTCGTCGCGGTCATTCAGCAATCTGGCAAAGGCGGCTTGACATTCTCTGAGCCGCACTTTAACAGCCTGTAACTCGCCGCAGTATTGGATGATACATAATAGCCAGATTGCAGCGGCCTTCTTGAGCGACGGCTTTGTGGCGTTGCAGTCCCCAAGGACCTTGTCAAGGACAGCGATTAGAAGCCGCTCATTGACATCCAATTCGGAAACATCAGCGTCAACGTCAAGTTCTGCCAGCGTGGACAGCGATCTGAACCCGGCACAAGCAACAGCAAGGGATTCTCCTAGCGCGAAATGAAACTCCGCTCGTTTGACTTCGTGAAGCCCCAGCAATCGATCCAGGAACGAGTCAAACAAGGAAACATTGGTACCCCGCGTATGCAAGATCCCAAGCACTGGCCCTGCGGCTGAAACTGCTGTTTCGCTCTCTTTCTTGCTGTCCGCGATCAATTGACTCAGCATGTCTTCGTCGTTGATTCCATCTTCAGTGGCAGTGCAGAGAGCCAATTGACGGAGACACCTGTATGCTGCGTCCTTGACTGACCTGTCGGAAGAAGTCTTGACAATCTCAATAACAGTCTCCACCGCATGGCGTAGAGTCTCAGGGGATACCTGCAGTTTCAGCCTCAGCGATCTCCTCGTGAGACAGAAACATGCGCGGAGGAGATGGCCTTGAATCTTTATTAGTTCTTCTCCAACAGCCGTTTTCCAATGTTTGGCCTCATTCAACTCGGCTTTCGCCAAGTCTTCGGCATTGTCATCCAAAGAACTAAAAATGCCAAAAATCCGAGCAGCTCGAAGCTGCAAGCCTGGATTCGCTGCAACACGTGAAGCTGCCTCCAGTCCTAAATCCTTGATATGGAGCAACAAGTCGTTCGGAGCAAGAGAGAGGAGCTCAAGAGATAAACGCAGACATTCCTCGGACGCCTTGTATACACCATCTAATGCTGCGAGCATCAATGGTAATAACACGTCGCCGCTCAGGTTTCGCAAATCAGCCCGTATTCGCCGTCGTGCGTCTTGATCATTGTCAACCAAGGCATCGATAGTCTGCTTCCAATCTGCCGATTCCTCAGGAACAAGTCCTGTCCCGCGTAAGACTTCGCAGAGTAGGATGTTCCGACAAAATGTCACCGCAGCGGCCAGCACTGTTGGATTGTCATAGTATTTCATCTGTGCCGCATCCGTCTTGAAGAACCTCTCCACCAGTGCACCGAGCTTGGGGAGCTCTAGTCTGCCATCACCAGAAGCGGTGGTGAGGCGCATATTTGAAGCATGCCAATACGGATCTAATCCCCTGATTCCTTCCTCAGCTACTTCTCTTCTGCCGCTTGCTGAGGCCAAAGCCAGGACGTCGATAAACCGAGCATCCACATCATTAAACGGTAGGCATTTGTTCGCAAATCGTACGGCCGGATAGGTCGTGCTATTGACCGTTGGTAGGAAGTAGACGGGGTCCTCCTGGCCTGATGTTGCTAAGACGTTCCACAAGAAGAGGTCTTTTAGGTGACTTGTGGTTGATGATGCGTCGAGGGTCGGGAGAGCATTCATGATGCGCCCGATCGATTCTTCGATGCTGCTTCTTATCTCCCGTGTCGTATCACAGCGAAGGCTGGTGAAGAGCCACGTAATCAGAACGACCATCCGACTGCTGTCCATAGCTTCACTTTTGAGGCCTGCGAGGAGGCCGATGCTCTCATACGCTTTCGAGCGAAGTTCCACGTCCGATGTGGTTGCGGAGTTGTCGGTGTTCATTGTCGGCCAGCCTTGCATTTCAATGTATTCTTTCAATAAGTCCTGGATGCGGTAACTGATTTCTCCGGCAAGATGTTGACCGCCAATGCGCACCGTCCATGTTAGATAGGAGAATAAAGCCGCTCGGAGCTTTGCCGCCTCTAGACCCGCGTTGGGTGTGTTCGTGAGCTGTTTCTCGACAATCTCCATAATTTCCTTGGTGCGCCTGGAGGAATTCTGACTGCGAGATAACAGAGCTAAGATCCGTGTTTGAAGCTTGGGCTTGGACTGTTTGTAGAGGCCGAAGAGCATATCAATCGCCGACTCGGATTCCAGGTCGAAGTTGGATTGCTTGAACATAACATCGCTCATATTTGCCGCTGAGGCATTGGGGTCAACAGACATGATAGTAGCTGGCATGAGACGTTGTTCGTCGTTGAAGATGGAGGAAAAGAGGAACTTCGCAATTGGCAAGGCGACCTCTGAGCGGCGCTTAAAATTCTTCTCCATGACAGGCTGGAAATCCTCGCCTAGGACTCGACCAGTAGAAGAGTCCTTTGGGTCGTAAAGCAAGAAATCGCACAGGCGGCTGGCAAGCAAATCTGCCTGGGTCGCCGACAGGGCGAAGGTTTCAGAAAGAGCCAGGTCTTCCTTGCTACCTCGCTCCGGGATCTTCCATTTCCGCAAGACTTCGAGGAGAAAGTCGAATGCGATAGCCCACATTTTCCGATCCGTAGCATCGAATTCTCCGGCTTTCGGTATGGCGAACTGCAATACCCCAGGCAGTGTCTCGATTCTCTGGTCCAATTCCAGCCTCGGAAGCCCTTGCTCAATAAACACGAGACAAAATCGCTTGACAAAGGCGTTGTCGTTCTCGCGAAACGTCTTGACCAACGCCGCCACAGGTAGCTTGATGGTCGAGGTGATCTTCAGGCGTTGGTTGATATACTGGGAGATTTTGATTGCCAGATTGCGATTTTGAGGAGTCGGAGAGGCCAGCTTTAGAAGGAGAGCTGGAAGGAACTTTTGGAGAATGAACTCCAGTTTCTCATCTGTCGACGCGGAGGCGATGCGCATCTCGAGTTGGGAGATTAGCTTATATTCCCGCTCCGCATCTTGAGCGGATTGTTGTGATGCCATGGTCGTTCTTTCAAGAAGAGTTTAGTCTAGGGTATCCCTCTCATCATCCAAAAAGGTACTGCAGCAAGACGAGGAGTTTACAAGACTACTCGAGGAGGATTCTTCTTTGAGTAAAGCAATGATTGGATTAATTCATGGATTGTTCCAGTTGAAGTATGAAGTGAGTTGAAATGTCCGCAACTCCGTGACTCAAGACAATGAAGACACTAAGTAAAAGGATCTAGCATCAGTGGGGAGGCAGCAGCATGCTCGTCATCGATACTGTCGAGAGGGGACACTCTCTAGGATTCTGTCAGGATCTGGGTCCTCGCCACGTAGTGAGGTGAAGCCTTGACCCTCTTACTAAGGCGGCGAGGTTGCCAAGGCCGGCTTTGGTTCGCTGCCAATGAGCCGCAAGGCGGCGCAAGGCTGAGTCTTGGCTCGATCGGGCAACATGATGAATTGGAACGACGCTTGTGTGTGCATGCTGTCGGAATGCTCCGTAAGATTACAAGGGGACTACGAGGCATATCATGTACGATTCAAGGAGTTCTGGAGTGTCAACCCTTGAGCATGCTCTTCGAGTCTCTACAAGTTCCCAGCTCAAATCGATGGTTGTAAAGGGGAGTCTGGGTCGGGTCGCAATGTGATCTTGAATGGTTCTTGATGACTTTAAATCAATGGTCCTGCCGCATGCTTTGCTGCCGAGCGACCTTCCCAGCCCATGAAAATGCTCGACCGAGGGCCTTCGCTTCCCAGTGCCAATCAAACTGGAACCGCGATTTCTAGGGGAATTTGCGTTCTCCGAAGCATCGTAACTATTCCCATGCTTGCCATTGTTCTCATTTTCAGCCACTCCATGACCTCCACTGCCTCACTCCCCGTTCCACAGTAAGCCATCATCTCAATCTTCTCGCTTCTCTCTCGGACTCGAGCAGGCACAGAATGTCATCGACTTTCACTGTATGCCCACAAAACAACCATCAGTTATTTCTGCCCACTGAAACTTTTGCGCATTCAATGTTCTCCGGCTCTGAGGTCTCACATACCTGGTCCTTTGATGTTTCGGATGATGCTTCGGCTCGTGTCGTCCATGAATTCGACTCTCACTTGAGTGACACCACCTCGGGAGCCTGGAACACAGACAAGAGTGAGTTGAAAAGGACCAGCGACAACCACGGAGGGACTTTTGGAAGTTGACTTACCTGTTCGGCCGAGGACTCGGGTGACTTTGACGAGTTTGACGGGGACTTTGCCTGCCGCATCCATCTTGAACTAGGCGATAGTATCGATTGGAACGGGGATAATGGGTTTGGAGTTGTAGATTCGCGGTGGCTTGATTGATGTCCTGCTGGCTGGAAATTGAGCGCGAAAAACATGTCAAACGCAGTTGGTGCAATGTGGGCGCAAACTCGCCAAGAATTCCATCGGCTAAACCTCGGCCTGAAATTTTTCCGATGAGATGGGTTGACTCAATTCGACTCTGCCAGCGATGGAGTTGCGGAATGTTACAGGTAAGTCAGTGAGATTAGACTGCTGGAGGCACTCGATGAGGGTCTTCACATAGGTTGAGTTGCACCTAACTGTTTCCCCTTCACTGTTCTCTTGCACACCAAGTCTGCTAGGGCTTAAAACTTTTCGTTTGTCTCACATAGTAGAAAAGCGGAAGATTTTCACATTGAGGAGGATCCTGCCCACACTAGAAAAAGGAAAAGGAACGCCAATCCACTGACCGGTCGATAAAACTGGAAATGGACCTCGTCAATCACCTCTCCGACCGGCTGCTCTTCGCTGTACCCAAAAAGGGCCGCCTTCAAGCAGCGACACTCGACCTTCTCACGGGATCTGACATTCAATTCCGGCGAGAGACCAGACTCGACATCGCCCTGGTAAAGAACCATCCACTAGCACTTATTTTCCTGCCCGCCGCAGACATTCCCACATTCGTGGGTGAAGGACGAGTGGACCTAGGAATCACGGGACGAGATCAAGTCGCCGAGCATGACGCCCATCTAGCTTTAGGTGAGGAGTCGGGAGTTGAAGAAATCATGGACCTGGGATTTGGGAGATGTAAACTGCAAGTCCAGGTTCCCGAGAAGGGCTCCGTCCAAGATGTGAAGGATCTGGTTGGGAAGAACATCGTGACGAGTTTCACGGGGCTTGCTGAGGATTACTTTGCACGCCTAGAAGGCATGGGTGGGCGTAAGGAGAGTATAAACGGCACGGCCAGCCCGATTCCGAAGCTGAAGACCAAGATCAAATTTGTCGGCGGCAGTGTCGAGGCTGCTTGCGCGCTAGGTGTGGCAGACGGAATCATCGACCTTGTTGAGTCAGGGGAGACAATGAGGGCCGCGGGACTAAAAGCGATCGATACGGTGGTTGAGAGCACAGCCGTATTGATCAAGTCGAAGTCCGTCTCGAATGAACAACTTGTCAACAAGATCGCGGCACGGATACGAGGGGTCATTACCGCGCAGAAGTATATCCTCTGTCAGTACAATGTGCCACGAACGAGATTGGCGGATGCGACAAAATTCACCCCCGGCAAGCGGGCTCCTACGATAACAGCATTGGAAGAGCCGGATTGGGTGGCCGTGAGTTCGATGGTTGAGAAGCAGCACATTGCGACGGTCATGGATGAGTTGACCGGAGTGGGCGCGACAGATATTTTGGTCCTCGATATTGCTAATTCACGGACGGGCTGAGATGAGACCTAGCGGGGACGTGAAGCGAGAGCGAGTTGGTGGCGCCACGATATACATAGATGATCGCTTCGAGACGAGACAAGGCTACGAGGGAGGTGACCCATGAAAATTCAGAGTCGGATCTGATCATGAATGCTTCCAGCTCTAGCACGAGGCTCGGTAGAACAACGCAATGAACAGGTTAGAGGACCGGGCTTGGACAACAGACGTTTTCACCCGGCGCGCCCGGGGCGGCAGGTTTGCAAAAAGTCCGAGTTTGTCCCTGCTGCGCGAGCATGACATAATTCCAAGGCGTAGTGTATGGTGTCTGCGGTAAGCAATTCAAGGCAACTGTCAGTTGGCGCATGCGCTGCGCTCGTATTATGGAAAATGGTCGTCATTTGCCCTGCTGCTTGCGGGACAATTTACAGGGTAGCTTTGCCGTGTCCCGCAAATGTCGCTACCACAATTCCCGCCTTGATCCGACATAGAAGAGTGCCTTTTGAGTGCCACATCCTGAACAATCTTGACCGATCACTTTCCGACTGTGCTCTGATGCACCAAATCCATTGGAGTTTGATGGTTCCCTCTTTGTGAGACCTCTCCAGAAAGTCAAGCAGAAAAATGACATCACCCAACCGGTGTTACTAAGCGAACACTTCCCGCTTTGTCCACAAACTGCATCCAGGCAGTCACCGTGGCATCCCACGCGACACACATTTCTGCCCGATCCCCTCAGCTTCAGAGCCTGGAGAGTTGTGAGTCTTCAAGTCAACCTTATGTGATAATCTGGAGTGACGCCTCGCGGCTACGACCACTAGCATCCACTGACCAACAACTTGAGGATACGGCTTTTTGAGCATGTCGACGAAGAAAAGTGCTCTACTTGGCTCCGACTCGGCGCCTGTCGCCGAATCTCTCCTCAGCCGCTTGATTGTTGCACCGGTCCTGTTCGTATCGTTTCTGATATCGCTGTTCCTCATCGACCGCCAAACTTATGGCGCCATCTTCGCTCGATCCGGTGGCCAAGATGGATATTACCATTCTCACCAGCGCAAACTGGCTAAGCGAGAAATGGATGACGCTTTTCAAATACGAAGCAAGGTCATCGCTGCCATGGTCCTGTTGAGCGCAGTTTCGCTGGCTCTGCTCGCTTGGATATTGGAGTCGGTGTGGAAAGTGTGGAAATGTAGGGCTTGACCATCGAAGCGCTGGCAATAAGCGACTCATATTCTCGACCAAATCGACTAGGGAATGTTGGAGTGTCTCATGGGACAGGAAAAGGGTGCTTCAACCTTTCACTTCTCTGGGGCATCTATTGGGGAAGTTGGTTAGCCATCAATACGCAAAATTTGCGAAGATTTCAGGGCGAAAGTGGTCATATTGCAAGGAGGACAGGCCATGGGATATGTTCTTATGGTTGAACTTACCAGGAAGTCTCTCAATGACATATTTCCCGCGGGCCACACTCATGATAGGTACACCGGGTACCTTTCGAATTCTCCTCTTCAGGTCTCTATCATTGGTAGCCACAATGTAGATTTTGTGTCTCATGACTCTGTCGACGATGCAGTCATCGGCGTAGGTGCCTTTGTGGCCGCATTTTAGTCGCTCCCACCTTTCATCTCTTGCTATCCGCAGGGCAATCCTATACTTCTGCCCAAGCTTTTCAAGTTCGGCCATTACGCAATCGGTAATGACCGGGATGCACTTGGCGTAGAGGCAATCCATCATTGTCGATAACAGTTCGAGTTTCTTCTGCACGGTATGGGAGAGGAAGTTGGTATCAACGAGCACATTGTAAGGCGGGACCAGGGCGGTGTTGTACTGGAAGAACAGAGAAGACGGCACTTGAGGCCTGTTTCTATTAGCGGGCCATTCTTCTGAGCTGCATCTCCGAGCTCACTCACGCTTCTCGGATCACGTCGTCGTCTGTTTTCTTCTTGGAGTCTGCCACTTTGCCAGTCGCTTGATTTTTCTTGAGACGAGCATCTCGCTGGCCAATGATTTTTTTGACCTGGAATTTGCGCGTCTTCTTATGGACGCCCATTTTGAGCGAACAGTCAACGCAGAGCAGCTGAGCTTGAGATTGTTGCTGTGGTTGTGTGAAAGAGAAAATCGTTGACGAGCCCCCGGGCATAACCACAAGCGAGAAAAGTTAAGGCCGGGACTAACCGAGTGCAGCCCCGACCATTGCTGTTCTTCTCGAAGCATTGGTGGCACCAGAGAATTCCACGTCCCGCTCGCCCCGCTTCCCAGCCACAATTGCTCACGTTATCCCTTCCACAGATGCCTAGCCCAGGAGCGTTTAGCGCGTGCCACAGCCCCAAAATATCCAAGAGAGCGCTTGAACCAGACTTGCAGGGGGGGACCAAGCCCGTGGCCTTAGGGGTGCGCCTCCTCGAAAAGCGAGATCTGAAACCTCTCACATTGCACCTTGTACACCACACCAGTCGTCACCCTTTCACTCCTTCGATCCGAAATCTGACCTTCATCCTCTCGCTATCTTTCCTTATTTCAGATCGAAATCATTGTATTATACAGCATCTCTTCCGGCAATATCGGCACCTCCATCTTAAACACGAACCATGGTCACCAACAGCGCGCTTCCAACCCTTCCCGGGGGCTTCAATTATCCCCCTCCTACCGTTCCTCCCAAGGCCGGCGCTCCTTACCTGGCCAGTTCCAATCTGCCTGAAAATTTCGTCTTTATCGTCGTCGGCGCTGCGCTGGGCTTTGTAGCTGTCCTCATCATCGGCTGGCGAATTCTCATGTCCTGGTCCATAAATCGCACCTTTAGACGCGACGCCAGCAGTGGTGCTGCAAATGGTGCCGCTTACACACCACTCGCAGACATCAAGAAGAATCCAGCAATACAATCCTCACATGATATGGCAGACCTGAGCAAACTGCCGAGGTCATTCTCAAGTGTGCCGTCGCTGTTTTTCTCACCCACGGCCGAAGTCGCGAAGCAGAGTCAGCGCCCTCCAAGCAGCCAGCACACTCACCTACCAGCTGGGCATTACCGCGATGCCTCAGATTCATATCGGCGATGATTTCCAAAAGAAAACATAAAATCTAATCAACAATTCTCTGGTCCTTTGGTTAAAATTGAGAGTTAGAGCTGGCTCTTGAAATGAAGTTCTTGAGGATGGATCATGCCACACCCCGCTTAAGGTGTACCTTGACGGTAGTTGGCAGGCGGAACATTCATTTCGAGCGACTGAGATGCATCACCCAGAAGGGTCGATCGTTCTTCAGAGCCGGCAACCGAACCTGACACCTCCGAGTTCTGAATTGTTTGAGCTGGCCACTTAGTCGGCACTAAACTGGACCGGATTCAAGAATTGACAGACGAGGTTAAGCTTCGCAGTCTTATCCACAAGATCGTGGAATTAAAGGCGGATGTCGACGATGGGCGTGTGTACGGGGATGCTTCGTGCTGCTCGAACTTCCGTGGACTAGGTCCAAAGTGCACCATAATAGCCATAATAGTGGAATTGGAATACTCAAGGATTCTGAAATTTAGCGAGGCGTTTGTATGCAGGAAAGGGCTCAACCGGGTGAATTGTACCTCGTGCCTTGAAGTGTCATTAAAAGAACACTTTTATTGTGCAATATGATGACATCTCTATACTCTGTACTCAGTAGTGTGGTCGTGCATGTCGCGTTGGGTGTTCTCTGTAATGTGACAGTCATTTCCGCTTTGCGATACAGTATCGACGTTTCCAGTGTTCTCATTTGGTCGCTGGCGACGTGTGTGCAACAGATGGTGACGACGTTTCGTAAAAGAATGTGTGTCTCGGGCGCGTTAAACGCTCCACCGTACCAGAAAACCTTCCTATCAGCCAATCGGAGCGCTCCATCGCCTCCATCAATCACAGATTCGTACGAGGTACTGTACACAAGTTTACAAGTACAAGAGCTTCAATTCGCCTCGTCTTCCATCTCCTCTTACCCTGCCTCTCTCCCGTCCTGCTACAGCACTCCCCCGTCTCCCATCCGGCCTGCCGTCCTCTGAGCTTGCCCTGCCCCAAACCATGTCCTTCCCTCGAGGCATCGACCTGCGACATCCGCTAGCTCTCCCCGTGTGTCGCTCGCTTCTGGGGACCCAGCGGCGCTGGGCTCGCGTTCACGATGTCCGCTTCGTAACCACGCATAGAAATCAAGAGAAGATTTTGGATCGGTATAGGCATAAACTGGAGCAGAAGGCGAAGGAGTAAGTCTGCCACCTGGATCCCTCCCAACAACGCCGCCGGGGTAGAGTGCTGCCGAAGTTGATGAAGTGGAAAGGGGAATGCGCGCTCGGTAGAGGACCTTGTCTAAGGCGCTGGCTATTCTCTCATGCAAGTTGGGCTAATTACTGTGTTTGTATTCAGCGAAGGGCATGATTCCATATCCTCTCTCACGGAAGCGTACAGGGATAAAATCAAAGACCACAAGCGTGCTGCTAATGCCGCACCCCCATCTACACCTACAGGCCAAGGCCAGCAGACGCAGCACTCTCCATTCCAATCACCTCCGCCTCCCGTACCTACTCAGCAGTCGACATCACCCCCACCGAATCCACAAGCAAAGTCTGCAAACCAAGCTTCTGGTGCCCCGGGAATAAAACCTCTTTCCTCGTATCTTGACCTTGAAAAGGTGTCTTCCCTGCCCAAGAAAGAGGTGGAATATATCTGGCGGCTTCGGCACGCAAACGACCCATTATCGCTCTGTGCTGTCATACCCTTGGAAACATATAATCGCATCTACCGCACGGCGAGAAGGCACCCGCAATTCGTCCTTCCCTTACCGCGCCCTGTTGCCGAGGATGGTAGTGGCGATCTGAAACAATCGACCGAGGGATTCGAAGGTAGCGAACAACGATCTGCTGCCGATATTCATTTCCTGCAATGGGGGTTCCATCCTCCTGCTGGGATTCCCCCAAGTCCGGAGGTGAAGACTGCAAATACCCACACCAGCACTGTGCTCTTCACGCACTTAGCTGCGTTTAAGCTTCATGGGACCTATGCTCAACCACACACGACAATCACACATCATCTCGGCCTTGCGGACTCACATGGCCTGGTTTTGTTGAACGGATCTGTTGTCAAAGGGCGGGGTGTGAGTGTCGAAGAAGGTCGGTGGCTTTTGATGTGCCTCCAGAAGTTCTATGACTATGAAGGTCACGGAGGGGGCATTGGACGTGAAAAGCGGCAAGGACTTTTGGAGAAATTCAGCAATGGCGACCAAGGATTCAGCCTGGAAGACCTGGTCGACGAAGCCGAGAGAATATCATGAAGGCGGCTGTGTCTTCATTCGCCGACAGGCTTGCTGCGCAGTTGGTCGCTGTCGACATCGACATCCACTCTCTTGAGCTTCCCTTCCCGCTCACCTCTCATAACGTCCCGAACCAGGAATCCCCAGATCGATTCGAAGTACCCTGGCTCTGCCACGGTCGAATTATGGTCACCATTGGGGAACTCTTTCCACACCTTGGTGGTAGGACACTGATCGAACAGGGCCTTCATCATGGATGGCGGTACGATCTCATCCCGCAGACCGGAGAGAAACAGGACCGGGATCCCTGCATCTTCCACCTTGGCGAGGCTCTGTTCTGAATCCCACCGCTGGTGACAGAGGTACGAAAGGTATTTTGCAGCTGGCATGACTGACGGAATCAACTTGCGAATGGACAGGAAGGTGTTCTCCAAGATAACTGCAGAAATGTCGCCGACTTGATAGTTCGTCTGCAGGAGCTTGATTGCAAGGGCACCACCCAGACTTTGACCGTACAGAACAATATTGGTCTTTCTCAGCTCGTTATGGTTTCGCACAAAGTCGAGGGCTGTCTGTCCATCAATGGAGAGTCCATCTTCGCTCGGCGAGCCAGTTGACAACCCGTAACCTCGATACTCGACCATGAATACATGACAGCCCAAACTCTGGGACAGGACCTTGCCGATGGGAAGGCGATGGCCAACATTGCCAGCATTGCCGTGAAAGGTCACCAGGGTGATATTTTTTCTCAGCGACGGATTGGAAGGGCGCAGGAGGTAGGCGTGGAGTGTCTCGCCGTCGGGCGTGGGGAACATGATGGAATCGGCATCCTGAATACCATACTTTTCAGGGGAGTCCACGTTCGTCCTTGAACCGGCGGGCAGATTTGCAGGGTAGATAATGTCATTCTGCTTAAAATAGAGGAGGCTGCTACCGAGAGCTGCGAGACCTGACGTCGCGAAGACGGGGATCCGCAACCAGGAGAGGTAAGAAGAGGTCATGACGACGGCTTCATCCAAGCGCAGCCTGGTCAATGTGTGATTTAACCGCGGGGGGAGGAATGATTTGAGGACCGAAAACATCCAGCAAGGAAACCTGTAGGATACGCTAAGAATGACGATCCGAAACTTCTAGGGTGAAAATGCGGCTGTATATCTAGGAAACGAGGAAGAAAGAGTGAATTGGCTCTAGGAGGCCCGAATCTTGGAGCTCATGCCATGGGAGGAGCAGGGCAACAAGCGTCCCTTCGTGGAGAGGTTGACACTTGGTTGGGCCAGGTTGCACCGTCCCTGCCGTTTTGGGTAGTTTTGGCGAGCGCAGCCGCGTGGAGCACCAAGTGGCGTCTAATTAAGACTTGGTCCCCCGTACCAGGTATGCTGCACTTACCAGGCAAGCCCTTGCCGCCCACAGCTTTACCGCCGAGTTTTGATTGAGTAGACGCGTTTGCTGGTTCTGCCTTCCCGTGTAGCGCAGCTTCACCATCCATATATCCGCCTCACATTTATCCTCGTTCACTGTGAATCCTCCTGCCATAACCCAAACACACACCCAGCTTCAGAATCTTAGGCGTACATATCCAACGTTCCACACCCTCCTCCTCTCAGTGTCTGCAGTCATGATTGGCCCAGGCACCGGCATGCTTGGAGAGGATGGAATCCATGTCGACATGAACCACCTCAAGTCTGGAGAAGTCAACCTGGGCACATCAATTATGGCCATCAATTTCAAAGACGGGGTCATTCTGGGAGCAGATAGTCGGACAACGACAGGGGCCTACATCGCTAATCGAGTGACGGACAAGCTCACCCAAGTACACGACACCATCTGGTGCTGCCGGTCAGGGTCTGCGGCCGATACTCAGGCTGTAGCCGACATTGTTCAATACCATCTCGGAATCTATGGGATCATGAACAACGAGGCCCCCACTACGCAGACCGCTGCTGCGCTGTTTCAAGAATTGTGCTACGACAACAAGGACCAACTGAGGTGAGATTGACCGAATCATATCGTGCTCGAGCCCCGACTGACATGGCTTGCATCCAGTGCTGGCATCATTATTGCCGGTTACGATAAGCGAAACGGTGGACAAGTCTATTCCATACCTCTAGGTGGATCATTGCACAAAGGACCGTACGCTATTGCAGGTTCAGGATCAACGTACATTTACGGCTACTGTGATTCGCACTGGAAAGAATCCATGACAGAAGAAGAAGGAATACAATTTGTGAAGGGGGCGCTGAGAGAGGCTATCAAATGGGACGGCAGCTCGGGAGGTGTCATTCGAATGGTGGTTTTGACGGCGAAGGGCGCTCAGCGACATTTGTATCTTCCAGACCAGGACTATCGAGGGCCAGGGAAAGACTAAGCCGGAATAATAATAAAAAAAAACGGGGGGGGAAGGGGCGTACATGGATCCTTTTTTAGAGGGCGCATATGCATATTCAGAGCAATGGGCATAAGCAAGTTCGACACTCGAGTGGGAGTGCCATGATCCAGGAGATTCCTTTTGGGCATGGCTATGAGGACTCTGAGGCTGGACCATTATTGGGCGTCTACCTGTGTGAGAGTAAACGATGCGTGCCTGGGAGCCTCTTGATCTCGCCGGGTGGCAATGATGCTCAATTGCGGTCAAGTCGCCTTTCTTCTGTGACCGATGTGTGCATGCAGGATGATGCAAGCATGCGTAGCCTTGGGTAGGGAGTATTGGGAGTACCGAGTACCACGTACAGCACATGTGGTGGACAGCAGCGCGGCGGAGGCAAAGGTGTCGCAATGCTCCGCCCATGCTCGCCCGCTGGCTGGCTGGCTGCTCGGGTCTTTAACGAGTACTTGTAGTTGTTAGGTGCTAGCCTCAAGTCGCCCATTTCAGTGGCCTCTGTCGGCCTCCAGCTTCAGCCCACCAGTCCACTAGCCACTGGGAAACTGCGCCTTGTGCTTCCAACCCAACCCAACCAAAACCTAAACCCAAACCACCCGATTCTCTCTCTCTGTCTGCGTCTTTCTCGTTACCCTCCGTCCCATCTTCATATCTTGCCACTTGTATCTATCGAGTCGGCCGTCGAAGTCTGGAGGGATAGACGTGCCTGACTGCACTGACGACTCGTACCTCCAGCAGTAACTTCCGGCAATGTCTTTGGTAAGTCGACACCTTGCTTCTTCATCCCCCACCCACCCGCTCGCTCGTCGTGGGCGGCGACTGCGCTGCACATGCTAGCTCTGCGCCCACCGCCAACTTGATCAAATGCATGCCGAACCCTCCACCACCACGACATAACCAGCATTTAACGTCGTCGGGGTCGCTGGAAGACTGTCTCGCATCTTGTCGTCCCCTCCATACAAGTTGCTGGGACGCTCCCAAGCATACCGCGGACCTGTACACCCGGAAGGAGAACACCAGGGCATCAGGCTGGGCAGTGCTAGGCTGAGACTGGTGTCTCTGCGATGCAACGTGCTTGGGTTGTTCATACCCTAGAGATCGGCTAACACCCTCTATCGCAGACATCCTACCCCAAAGGTTGAGATGGGCTCGCTGGTGATCAGCCAAGTGGCGCCGGGACTCGGTCAGCATCCCTATCACCACATGATGGTGGACACCAATCCTCATCACGAAGACTCCTCCAGAGAGTACAGCGCGTCCTCTACCCAGACACCTGTCGTCCATGAACCTCCGGAGGACTCGTCGACCCCAGGGTCACAGCACGACGACTATGAGCCAGACAGTGCTCACGCATCCGCTTCCCATCACACACAGTCCTCTTACTACCCTCAAAACGTAAACCAACACTCGCGCGGATTTGATCAGTCCGGATTCCCACTGACCAGCGATCCTCGAGTCGTGGTCGCGAATTCCCCTCCCTCTCCACGATTACAACCCACCTATCGCTCGACTAGGTCATTAGGCGCGTCAGAAGCGAGTTCCCCCAGTCGGATAAAAGTGAGAGACCTGTCACATATTCGGAGTCTTGCGAGTGAGGAATATTTGAACCGCCCACGACTATCCGGACGCTCCTCCAGCACATTTTCGGATACAGGAAGGCAGTATGAAATCAGTGCAATGCCTGTTACAGACATTATCGAGATGGTCGCAGGACTTCTTACCAAGATTACAACCACCAACGATCGCCAGCACGAGCATCACCGCCCGATCCCGCTCACAGAGGAACAGAGTCATCTAAATCCACACGCCTCCTGCGTCTTGGCCTTCCACGGCAAAAATGTCCCAGGAATCACCATCCTAAGTTATTTGAGTCGGATACATAAGTATTGTCCGACTACTTACGAAGTCTTCCTGAGTCTGCTAGTGTACTTTGATCGCATGACTGAAATGGTCAACCGTGGGCTTCTGGGGAATGTCCACAGGGGACCTGACGACTCGCCTGCCACAGCGCCAGAGTCGTCCACACCCACCCCACGGTCTCCCGTGCCAATGAACGTGGATAGCCCTCAAGAACACCACGATATCAGCACACCGCCATCCCCTTCAGATTCACGCCAGCACTCTCAACCACAGCATCGTTCCTCTCCACAATCTTCCAGCATTCCGACCGATTTGTCGCAATTCTTCGTGGTTGATAGCTACAACATTCATCGTCTTGTGATTGCTGGTGTCACTTGCGCCAGTAAATTCTTCTCTGATGTCTTTTACACGAATTCTAGATACGCAAAGGTACGTTTTGTTCTGCTGAGTAGAGTTCTCGCGCCGTCAATCGGCTTTGTGACGGAGTCCTGACGCAACTGTGCCTCTGAAATGGGATACTGACATATGGTTTGCGTGACAGGTGGGAGGCCTTCCTTTGGCCGAACTGAATAACCTTGAGCTTCAGTTCCTCCTCCTCAACGACTTCAGACTTTCGGTTCCGGTGGAGGAGCTTGAGGCTTACGGCACCATGCTAGTCGAGTTTTACGCTCGGGAGTTGCTGGCCCAGCAGCAGCTCGCTCAGCAACATCAGCAAGGAGGTACAGCTGTTTCATCACCTCCTTCCGCCGGCGCCGGAGATGGGATGTACATGCGCTCTCCCGGGGCTGAATCTGGTTCATCGTCGACACAGGGAGGAGCAAGTGGGCCTCCCACGTGAAAGAAAACAATTCACCCGGAGGAAAGGTCAAGCTTGGTTGATGAAATGAATACGGAAGATATTTTCAGACAATGAATCGTCTTTGTTTACGTTTACGAGATTGCCGAGTCATGAACGGAATCAATACCTATTAGACCAGATCTTTTGTGAGAGTGTTTTACTTATGTGTCTGTCTGTGGCGAGTGCTAGCATGATGGCACTCAGGATCGGGCTGAGGGACACATGGGCGTTGGCGAGCGGCGAGGCAACTTCATTCTTTCGTCCTTTTACATCGAAACGACCGAGATGAGGCACACTGCAATAGATGTTCGAATCGAGGTCGTTTAAGAACAATCGATCTGATGAGACAAGAAACTTCCCCGTTTGTGAATACCACTTCTCTCCTCGCGGTCTTTGTCCTGAGTTGACTGGTTTTTTCCCCTCCTCGTCCCGAATCTCTCTATCACTCCCAATGTCCATGCCCTTGCCCTTGCCGCTGCCTTTCCGTCTGTCGATCTGTTTGTCCGTCTGTTCGAGAAGACAGGCAGGGTAAGGAAGGGTCCGGAGGCACGAGATTGGTGAGGAATACAGAGAATGTGGGTGCGTGAGAAATAGACGAGGGGATGGCCAGGGCCGAGGACGAGCAGGGATGCGCAGGACCAGAGAAGTTGTAGCTTGATTGTTTTCTCTCTTCTTTCTTTTCGTGAGTCTAAAGCTCTGTAGGTGTTGGTGTTGAGGCCAATGGTTCCCGCTCGACCTATTGACGAAAAGACTTGGAACAAGGACCCGCAACACTTTTGGATTCTCTAGTAGTATGTTGTTAATGAATGACAACGAGCCCAAAGTTATCTGACCCTTCTGGCCCTTCTGGCCCTTGTGGCGTAGAAACACAATGCATAACAAGTTCTAAGCGCTGGTCCCGCCTGGGCGGATTGAAAGCTTCGTATAAACGCAGATGTCGAAATAAAAAGCGTCTTGCGCTGCTGCGTTACGCATAATGTCGTGTCGTTTTAAGGTCGTGTCGGCCATGATCCCCGTGATTGTCGTATTGCTTCATACTTGACGTGCCTCTCCAGGATTTACGCTCAAGCACAGACCGTTTCTCGTAGAGCAGCAGCCTTATCCGCCCCGTCAACAAGCATTTCGATCTCCTGATCCTCAAGAACCACGGAACAAGAACTGCATGTCCTCCGGCGTCAACTTATCCAGCGCGACCTGGTCATTATTCACTGTGCCATTGATCATATTGGCCTTCTTTTCTTGAAGCAACACCATCCTTGATTCGACCGAGTCTTCAATACACAGACGAGTGATGACGCACGGTCGACGTTGACCGATTCGATGGCACCGATCCGCAGACTGCCATTCGGCAGCCGGGTTCCACCATCTGTTCGAAACTTCAGTCAGTAATAGTTGACAAGTGAGGGAAGAGAAGCTGCTTGGACGTACGGATCGACAATGTAAACTCTGCTGGCCTCGGTCAAGTTCAAGGCGACACCACCTGCTTTAAGTGAGACGAGGAAGACCTCAACATCGACGTTGGTCATAAAGTGGTCGATCGTCTTCTGTCTCTGCGCCGGTGTCATGCTTCCATCCAACAACACCGTGCTGAACCCGGATTTCTGCAATCGCCACTGGACGAGCTGTAACATGCTCGTGAACTGCGAGAATACGATGGACTTGTGCGTTTGTTTCTTGCTGCGGAGCTTGTACAGATCATACACCAGCATTTCAATCTTTGTAGAGCTGGTCCAATCCTCCATCTTGATGCGATTGATGATCGATGACTTCTTGATGTTGTCTTCATCCTGCTCAATTTCAGGCTGGTCCCAGTCTATTACCAGGGGAATATGACATCGAGGACAATCTGCGTCTTCCTCAGTACCTCCGTACGCACTACCAGCGAAGGACTGGACGTATGATCTGGCGCATTGGCGACAAAATTCGTGTCGGCAGCGGGAACGGATGGCGTCTTCGGCGGGTTCATCGCAGACACAGCAGACAAGAACATTCTGCCCGCCTTCAGCGTTCTTGCGCAGGATCAAGTCGGGATGATTGGCAACTTGTCTCATTTGCATGATGAGACCGAAGATGTTGGCATAGTTGTTCAGCATTACACCTTGTGCGACGTAAGTGTCGAATTTGCGACTCGAGTTTGACATAATGCTTTGTGAGAAGTCTCGCTCAATTTCTCCAAAGAACTCGTTGTGGACAACGACCTCTTTGGGCGGTAGCTCCATAGAAGAAGTGTGGTCTCGCTTCATACGACGAAGCATGATACGATCGGTGATCAGACGCAACTTGTCCAGACCTTCCTTTCTTAGCTTCTCGTTGTTTCCCTGCGTGATCGGATTGAGAATCTCTTGGTTGAATACAGAGACGTGGTTGAAGCCACTATGCTGACACTTGATGCATCTCTTCGACTCATCCTGGGACCAATGGAGTTCACGACAACCGCATTCCTTGCAAAAGTAGCATGCAAACGGGTGGATCTCAAGGAAACGTAGCAGGGAGAAAAACTCGCCAATGCGGTTCTGAACGGGTGTACCGGACAAGCACCACTTGTATGTGGCTCTCAAGGCAAAGCAGGCCTTTGCCACACCAGTGGTGCGTTGCTTGATACTGTGGGCCTCGTCAAGGATCAATCTGTGATACTTGATCGAATGCAACACACTGTCCTCCTTCACAATCCCATCACCTCGAGACCACCCTTTCTGTTCTTTCCGGTACATCGACTCCAGACCAGAATAAGAGACCATGATGACATCGTACTTCTTCAGGTCTTTGACAGTGAGAAGCTTGCATTTTGGATTGGCAGAAGAGTGGTAAACAAGCACCTTCAACTTTCCGCTGGTGTATTCTTTGATTTCTGACTGCCATTGCATGAGCGCGACTGGAGGGACAACCACCAGGCTGGGAGCCTTAGCAGGATAGTCGGACATAATAAGGCTGACAGCCTGAATGGTCTTCCCCATACCCATCTCGTCACCAAGCAAGCCACCTTTCCATTGGGACTTTTCCTGTTTCATCATCCAGTCCAAGCCTTCGAGCTGGAAGGGTTTCAGCTTGCGACTGATTCCGGTTGGTTGTGGTGCCTGCACAGGCTTGATGACTGGGATTTTGCCAAGATCCGTCCACATGGTTTTGATGTCTGGGTGGGCTCGTTCCAAGCGTTTGCGTTCCCTAACTTGACGTCGTTTCACAGGGTCTGTCCAGAACTCGATTTCTTCTTCGGTCAACACCGTCCAGTCCACTCGACGTCCTCTAGCCCAGGGCGGTTCAAAACGATTAGATTCATCGTCGGACTCACTGAAGTCGACCGTGTCCATGGACATGGGCGGAAGCGTGAAATCTGACAATTCTGTGTCGGCAATAGAGACTGCTGATGAAAGTTCGGAGCTGTCGACTGAAGACCGGCGGGTAGAAGTGGAAGGGCCAGGGTTACGGAGGGGAAGCTTGGTTCGACCCTGACGCAAGGTGGCGGGCGGCGGCATGTCATCTTCAGCGTCTGTCATGTCATTGAGGGATGGCCGAGTACGACGGCGCTTAGACAGAGGCTCGTCATCGGAGTCTTCTGAATCTGCCACCACGTTGTACTCTTCTGCCTGCAGTTTAGCAGCAAGTTGTGCGTCCGTGTCTTCAAAATCTTGATCAGTTATTTCAGTGATGTTTCGTTTTCTTGAAGACCGGGTGCGGCTGCGAAGAGCAAACTCAGAGGACTGGAGCTGCAGAGCCCTAGCGGTCGCTCCAACATTCGATTTCGATGTTCCCGGGTCAGGCGTTGGGAAAGTGCTGGTACCCGGAGTTTCATAACTAGGCGAGTCCGTTGAATCGGCGATGGAGGAAGGTGCCGTTGACGCGGACGGTCTGCCACGACGATTTGCAGGAGCAGATTCAGTCTTAGGGATAAAGACTCCTTCGAACGTGCCCTTTGATGAAGAGGCACCAACGGCAATAACGTCGTCATCAGAATTCGGAATCTCTGTGACTGTAGATGCTGAAGGCCGACCTCGACTTCGATTGCTGCTTCGCTTAGGGGGGCCTTTGGTGGGTGCAGGAGACGACTTCTCAGTGGCAACTCTTGAGGCTGTGGGCTCGGTGAGTCAGTTATCAATTGGTTATTGGTTGAGCAGATACTTACAAGGCGCCCTCGAAGAGGCCGCAGACCTCGAAGGACGGCCTCGAGCGCCCATGGTGATTGTCGAGTTGCCAGTAAGGGAGAGGTGTGCAGAAAGGGTGAGGCTCGGTTTATACTGCAGAAAGAGATCGAGGCACAATCGATAAAGATCTGGGTTTAGCGCGTTTTCTGCCTGGATTGCGGCGCGTGGGGACGCGTTAAGTGCTGTGGAAAGACAAAAGCGGCCTTAGTATGGAGTACTGCAAAACTTCCATGCTGGCTTCGGCTGGTAAAGCAGCGAGAGGTGAGACTTCACATACCTCACCGTCACCCCTCGTATGTACATACCGAGTACTCTACTTGGAGGTCCTCCCCAGTAAACTATTTGGCTCGAAGGAAAGACTACATATTCTACGAGTCCGCATGAGGGGGCTTTTCCTCAATCATCAATTTGACTGAGCGCCTTTGGCTCGTTGTGATTTGCAAGATCTGTTCTATTGCTCTGTCCAAGCATTATTCCTTGATTGAAGCGTGTGGAGCATCAGCCAAAGCCGTAGTTCGATCGTAGCAATGGGTTTTCGCTTTCGAAGGGGTCGCCGCATCAATATTTGATTTGATGTCCGTTGGGTCTCTACTGAAGTGGCCAGGAGAGAATATCAAAGTACCGAGTAGTCCTCGTGAGTCGAACATTGGACGAGCAATGCTGTCGGGCTTGCCAGCTCGCTGGGTAAACGCCCACGTGAGCACGGGACTCGTGTTCTTAATTGAACGCGCCCACCAATCGCGCCAAGTGCGAATTGCCCCTCAGCGCCTTGCCAATGCTTCTGCCTTTGAATTTGTGTAGTGAATATAGGAGTTTGTCACCGCATTGAGGAGTTTCAAACGCTTTCAGTGACTTGACACA